CAAACAGATGTATAATTTTATAAGTTTGTGATTGTGTATGAATAATTTACAGTTAACTCACAGAATAAAACGTCAAAAGCATGCCTTATTCACTAGTATGCTGGTTGAATCAGCCACCATTGCATTTGTTGTCGGCAGCTTGCCCACTATTCTTTTTATTAATTTTATATTATTTTGAATTCAGTTTTTTGTATGTTACTTTTGACTACTTCTCTGTGAGCCCTATTTGGAAATATACATATTTATTTAAAGATTTTCAATAATAGTCGTGTTCTCGCTCCAATCGCACAATTTAAAGACGTCAATGATCTGGATCACGGGCAATTACATTTGTATCTTGTAAGTTAATAAATAAATTTTGGCTCTGCAGTGCTGCTGCTATTTCATCAAAAACAAGTACAGTCTAAGGTTAATGTCACTGTTGTTGTTTTGCAGAAGAAGCACGATTTGTCCTCTCAAGTCGAACCCCCATAAATCTACTCCAAATTCCTGCGGTTTCGCCATTTGTTGCCGCAGTTAAATCACCATTAATTTACAGCACTTATTCTGCATCAAAATATTGATATTTGAAATAGAATAGAATAATATTTATTACAATCACACATCACAACACAACAGTGATGATGATCACAGCAGCATATAAATTATTACAACATATATAAACTATTTGGAATGTTAAATACCATTTTAATTAATACATTTTGTGTTCATATGTGCCTACGCACATAATATCATTTGCTCAATATTTACCTATCCCAAACAATGGAAGTGCAACCATACAAAGCCGATCTGCAAATGCTTAAGATAAGAACAATAGATTCGTAAGACTTCATTTATTCACTTCACTGTATTTATTGTGCAATAAAGTGTTACAAACAAACAAACTTCAATTCAATAGCCATGTTTTGCATTATCTCTGTCGAAAATCTTATTCCTCTAGAATGCCAACGAATGTGTATCATTCGAGGTGCTGTTCATATATATAGGCATATATATTGCATGCATAAAACTACAATGACGTAGACAATCAAAATCCAAATCAAAATCCTCCTTTATGGGATCATAAGGAAGGATTTTGATAAATTCCACCCCTAAGGGGATAAATTAACGCGAGCGAAGCCGCGGGCATAAGCTAGTTTCCTATAAAATCGACCTCCACGTTTTTTTACAAATCATCCTCAATATGGGCTAAATGATATGACTTCAAACTCATTATATCAATCTAGATTGATGTGTCACTAGCGTATTATTCCATATAATAAATAAATAAATAAATAACCCTTGATAATTAACACAGCGCCATCTAGTCCCACGGTAAGCTGAGCTTGTGTTATGGGTATTAGACAACTGATACAAATAGGTGCATATAAAATACTTAGACGATAGAAATAATCATAATCATAATTACAAATGTTTGCAACGGGTGAGGAATCAAACACGCGACCGGTTGTATAGCGGTGCGCTAAACCGCCAGTCCACCGAGCCCGTCAATATTCATTAATTAAAAATACAACTTGTAATGGATTTGTAACTTAAAAAGTTGGGATGCTCAACAAGGTATTGTAAATTTCACAGAACTTGTATGTTCCACTGGATTATTCTCTAATCAAAACGTCTAGAACTCCTATCTATATTTTACCAAATAAACTTGTTAAAACTTTAGTTTAAATTACGCCTCTGGGCCCGGTTAAGCCAATTATATAAGATCTATTACAGGAATGACAGAGTTTCTTTTGGTAGAATTTATGGTTACAAAAAAAATTAAGGTAATATAATATAACTATTCGGAGAGTAGAAAGATAGAGAGAAAAATAAAGATAATGTAAGTGATCGACTGGTCACTTAAAGTTTAATGAAAATAGTATTGCTGTAGCTGAAAATAAACTAAATAAATTTAGTCAATAAATAAATCGTTTCAAATATTCTTTCAATATTTTTTTGTGTTTCGAGTAAGATATCACAATAAAATACTTGCCTAATTATTTTTAAACTACCAATTAATTTCAGAGTTGATTACACGCGTTATTGCGATTCATGAATCCCTAAATATGATTTATTACAATCGCTTATTTATTGAAGTCTAGTTGCTTTAGCCCACACCATGCTACTTTTTAAGATCGCCAAAAACAAAGATTTTCTGCCTTATTTTTTAAGTAATTGGAATGGTAAACAAACTGTGGTCCACCTGATGGTAAACGGTAACTGTCGCATGCATATATACATACACGAACAGCACTACGGACATTATCCCTCATACGTTGCTATTCTAGAGAACAAAAATGTCATACCTCTTATCCTATAATTTCACTTTCAAATCGCATGTTAAAACCAAACACAGCATACAAAGGAAGCTGCTTGGCGATTAAAGTAGGTGAAACTGAGATTTTGACGTTTACGAGTTTTTAGTCAACCTCGGTATCTCAATATTCATTTTAGCAGCTTATTAACGTCAAACGTTATATATAATTTTTTTTTTTCCTACGGACGGTAGAGAAAAATGTTACCGAACGTATAAGTACTAGTAATATATTAGATAATTTGTTAATTATAACTACACTGGCTGTAACAACTTTAAAATAAATCGAAATGAAATAAATCTTGTCAATCATGACAAAATATCTTAGTAATGTTATAAATGCGAAAGAGAAAAGCATCTATCTATACTCAATGGATAGATAGATGGATGTTTTTCTTTCACGCAAAAACTACGGAACAGATCTTGATGAAACTTTACAATACTAAAGCTTATACATCAGAATAACATAGGCTATCAACCGATCGATGCCCCGTCCAATTCAAACGGGGATCGCTATTACGACGGGCTGAGCCGAGGTTCGAACCCCTAGTGGTGCCCTCAGACTAAAGTCGTATCCGTCAGGCGGGAGTTGGCCTTCAGCCGCTCCATAAGTCCTTCCGCGGGTTTGGAGTGCCATCTGCACTCGCCCCCTATCGTCCGGTGAAGCTGTAAAGGCCAGCTGCGGCCAACAGCACTAGAGTAGTCTAAAAAAAAACATGCAGGTGAAACCGCGGGAACTTTTTAGATATATGTACACTAATTTGTAATGTTAGTTATTGTTTTTTTTTTAGTTTTAATGTAAAATACATTAAAACTAAAAAAAAAATATTTCTTTCTTTCTTTGTAATTCTAATTAATTGTTGTTGTAGTAAAGTTTTAATTTTGACATCAGTTTATTTAAATTCCTAATTAGTGCCTAATTGTTTTCATTTCTAAGATAATACAGCTTAGAAACGAAATTTAACTTTGAAATTCTCGAGGGCTTTCACTTAATAAATAGAATTTAGGCCCACGAATGGTTTGAATGGGAGGTTTGTTTTATTTTGTTGGGTAGCGGGTGTACTTGCGGTGTTGTAAACAAATAACGTTTTATATCGTGGTTCAATTTCTTTAGGATTACAATTCTTTTACGCTATTATTGTTCTTGTATAATGTTTTATCGAAACTTACAAAGAGTTTGGGAATTTATTATCTGAATTAAATTTAATTATAAGAACCGATTAAATAACGAAAAATTATGCTTCGGCAAATGATATAATTCGCAGATTTTTTCAATAGCAATTGTATCACTTTTATATATACTTATAATGCTTTATGCGATAGTTTTTTCCGTGCAGTAAATAAATATTCCAGTATACATCACTAGCTGTTGCCCTCAACATCGTCTGCTTATCTATATATATACATATATATAAAATTATCGTGTCATAGTGTTAGTTGTCATACTTTAAAATGGCTTCACCGATTTTGATGAAATTTTATATGTATACTCAATAGGTCTGAGAAAAGGTTGTTATATAGTTTTATACACTGAAAGATAAGGATGTCACATTCCAAAAATATATTTTTATTTTATGGACAATTTTTTTATTTATGTAGAACGGTGTATCCACGCCACACGTGGATACACCGTTCTACCACCAACCCCTATTTTTTAATAGTGAATTTACTCGTAATTTATATGGAAAAACAACGTTTGCCGGGTCGGCTAGTTTCAATAATAAAAGATAGATATTTTCATGCCTTTTATTAAGACCTTTTCAACCGATCATGAAATGTTAACAAGACAGACAGACAGATGATATTAAGTGTGACTTATTGCATCGGAGACAATGGAACCGGTGTACAATGGATTTAACTCAATTACCGCTCATATAGCCAATTCTCTATTTGTGATAAACTTTAATTAATTCTCCAATACATTCAATTCTACGTTTGAAGTAATTTCCATTTCATTAACGTGAATAGCATTCATTATTATTTATTCTAAGAAATTTGCGAACACATTTTCGAGATTTGTGCGCTCAACGACAAAATTTTGAAGTCCCTAAGTGGGTGAAATAATTATGCGTAAAATTGTTGAGGTCTTGTTTCATTTGAGCCCAACAAGTTAACTCCCTAATAAGACGATTTGAATTGAATTTTTTCACAAATAGCCACGATCTTTTCAAAATTATCCTACCCTATTACTTGGTCATTCAAATATACATACAATACGGTTATTATTTAGGGCGACCTCATGGGTATACAAATAAATCATTTTTAAGTGTCTATTTGTAATTTCAAATTAATAGCTTTTCACTAAATGCATATGAAAGGTAAAATATACGGTACTTACATCAAAAACCTGTCTCATAAGTTTTGTCTGTTTGTTTTTGCTATTGTCTGAAATGGCTGGACTGATTTTAACAGGACTTTCACTCGCAGATAGCTAATGTTATAAGGAGTAACTCAGATCACTTTTATTTTAGAAAAAATATGTATTATATATAACATATATATTAAATTTATTATAAATTATTTATTAACATAAACAAAGTTAAATTCCACGCGGACGAAATCTCGGGTAACAGCTAGTAATTAATAAAATACTTTTGACTTCTAATTCTAAGTCAAGAAAAATAAAGTTTTATTTTAATTGTTTTCTAAATCCTATAATGTATACATGATTGTTTATTTATATCTTTTTTTTATTTTGTTTCAGAAAAAACGACGATCTTGATGACGAGTTCAACACCATTCCACTGAGCGTCAACGGCAATGTCCACAGTGCAGGGAACGCAGTTTAGTCATTAAATAATAAGTTCAGGGAGATTACATACTAAAGTCAGTTTTTAATTAAATTTGTTATAATTTATTATCTTACTTTTTGAAAGCATGTGTAAAAAAAAAATATTAGCTACATACTAGTGCCTCCTGGCGCCTGCGTGGAATATAGCAAATATTTCTCACTGGTGAAAGAGTTTTTAATATCGGTCTAGTATGTGCATATACCCATTACAAAACTAACATACATAAGTCAATTGTGTTCCTGTATATACATAAATATATGTATAGACTACAATCTTATATATTCAACACGTATAATTAGTAAATTACGGTATATTACCACGTTTTACTTTTTATTGAGTTGCCCGATATTATATTTATACATATAAATAATGACCGCGTCAAATTTAAAACAGAATATATAAAATATATATATTCAATGTTAATTTAGTATGCAAAGTTATCAAACATTATATTAATTTTATTACAATTATATTTTATAATTGTTTTTTTTTATAATATTATATTAACGTAACGATTCTATAGTACGTAATCTCCATGATTGAGATGCTGGGTAGGCGTCAGACCAAACGCACGACTAATCGCATTGTTGGTTTGGTGGCAGCCTTAGGCCTTGAGTTACCCTATTTATTTGTTAATAGACTTCTAGACTCAAAACATAGTCCAGTGACATCAATAGACCCATTAGCGATTAAGTAAGGACTGATATTGATATAAATACTCGTTTAATGTAGTTGTTACCTTTTTGTCGCACATCTGTCACTGCTTTCCTTTGTCATGAGTACGTCAATTAGATATCGCACACGTAATAACAAATTGTATTAACTAAAAAATTATAATTATTTGGAAATCGACTTTATACATAAGTATACGTAAGTTGATTTTCCAAAATTTGCACTTTTATTTAAGGCAGTTTGTTATTGAATTGGTGATATGTATGAATTGTTATCGCTTCTAGTTGAAACGGCGAACGGTATCTAGGATATAGATATCCATTTATTTCATTTCATCACTGAAATTGTTAATGTTTTTGTATGTATTTGACGGAGTCTGTATAAATTCTGTAACGAATAAAAAGCACTTTAACATTATGTTGTTGAGTTTGATCTACATTCCTTATTTATTGAAACCTGTTATTATAGAAAAAAACAATAACAATCATGACGACGTGAAGGGATTGAAGCAGTTATTTAAGAAAAGAGGTTTTTAACTAACTGCAATGGCAAACTGACGTCAAGTCTGAAGAGGCAACCATTTCGTTTTAACAGACACACGGATATCACGTCCTTATATTATATTCTAGATATTCTTCATGCGATTGATATTTCATAGGTCGCAGATGTCAAGTTTAGATACTTTCTGATTTCTCTGTATTTCAGCGGTATCTCGGTTCTTTCTGCGGTATTTCATCTTTTCAACCAAAACAAAGTATATAGCTCATAATAATAACAATTCACACACCGCCATCTAGTCCCAGGCTAAGCAGAACTTGTGTTATGCGTACTGGACAAATGATATAAATACATAGATACATTTTTTGTAAACACATACACAATACAAATAGAAAATATCCAGATAGATGTTCATGAATCTGATCACGTATAGAAAAGTTTGTACCTACCGAGGAATCGAACCCGCAACCATCAGAAGTAAGGCGGTGTGCTCCATCGTTACTCCACCGAGGTTGTCAATATATAAAGTGATATAGGTAAAATAAAAGTACTCAATCAGACGACTGTCTACGAATACCTCGCTAAAAGAATATTCCAAATATGTTCATATACACCATAGTGTCTCATGTTTTTTTTTAATAATACAAAGGACATACACTATGACGGTTAATATACTTCGAGGAATGTTAAAAGATAAAATACGATTCCCGATAATGGTTTATGGTGAATCGCATTTAAATACCTACCTGCCAAAAGAAACTAGAACTCAGATTCAATGTTATCAGTACGGTATTCGGTATTTATGGTAAGTAATGCTAATTTCCTGCTTATTTAGAAACGTCCATTATCATTAACCAGACATCTGATGAAGATTATAAAAAAAATACTTTACGTTGGGGGAAGTGGGGCAGAATGGGACTAGGGGCACATTGATACACGTGTATTATTTCGTGAACGATTAAATGTATTCGAGTAGTGACAACTCTGAAACACGTCTTTAAACTTATGAACGCGACCGTTGTGATTATGCCAACAGCCAGTCAGTCGGTGGCTTTTAACAGCTTAAAAAATGTTTTGACTCTTAATTATATGTAATATAGGGTATTTCATACCAAAACATAAAACTGAATTGTTAACCACTGCACACAGCAAAAAAAAGTTGAAATGTGATATTTTTAGTATATAAAAAAAGGCTTTGAATTTTTGAGCATCAATCTGCCCCACTTCCCCCTAATGGTCTGAGATCCAGGAACAGATTAAGCTGTCAATTTCTACCCAGTGTAAAACTTCCAAGATGGTTCAGTTGGTTGTGTTATGAAGACTAGTGAAAGTCAGCTGCAGTTCCTATAGTGCTGCTCCACCCGGGTTGAGGAGCAGCAACCTCGTAATTATGTAAAAAAGAAACCTATATATTAAAGATAAGAAATAGTCTAATAATATTATGTTGGCCGACTATAACTGGGATGGCAAAGAAGCTGATGTCTTTGATAATGGATAACCCCGATAAGAGAAATTGATCCGTTTAACTGCTGTACGTAGTGTCACCCAACCATCCTTCCTGGCGTCGCGATCATGTATTTAGAATGGCATATAAGCAAGATACAAATTGTAATACATTTCTTCAACATTTGTCTTCAACAGCTTAGAGTTCTAGTACTGTCCTATAATCTACTTTGTACCTGCCCGATTCGAATCTACACTCATTGGTAAAAGGGTTTAATAAAGAATCATTCCAAAAAGATTCTACTCAAAAAATAATAATAAGAAAACGTATCTCTAAAGTCGGTTAAAACAATCGCATAGTGATGGCGACCTCTTCTTTTTGAAGACAGTTGATAAAAATATATATTAGGGATTTCGCAGAGACTCCTTCACAATATCCGGGTAAAAATATGTAAAATCTGCAGGACCATAAATTATAGGCGTTTAGTGTGTAGATAAGGGGATGCTGGGTTTTATTACCGGATATATTCAAGTAAACGTACGATACGAGGCCAAAGTTGAGATCGGGAACTGTGTATGAAATGATATGAAGTATCACTTGATACACTATGTTTTCAATATAAGATTTTGTATGAAAACCAAGCAGATATTTGACGGAAGTGTACTGTAAGTTTTTTCTAAATAAAGTGAAGACAAAGAAGTAACAATATATTAGTATATAACATTAGTTTTTTCGTAATATTTTAAAGTAGGTACTGTTATAAAAGTTACTATTTATGAATAAAAAACTGCTCACAAGTAGAGTAGTAGAGTATCAGCACTGTTTAAAAAGCAGCTAAATTAATAGATAGCTCACACAACCTCACCTAGTTCCAAACTAAATAACGATTGTATTATGAGTAATAAACAGAAAAGAAAGAAATTCTTAAATACATTTATATAATTCATATCTAAAGTACATAGAAAACACCCAGACAAACAATCAGGTACACATATGTCTGTCGTGGGAGAATCGAACCAGCGCAGCGATTGCATCGAAAGTAAGGTTATCTGCCTAATCGGTCGACCATGCCGCCAGAAGCCACCTCTTCAAGATTTGTCCATTTGTTTACTATTTATGTCTATTACTGACTGCATTGTCTTTTTATACCCGTACTTTAATTACAAACATGTTGTCATCAGCAGTACATGATAAAGGCCCTAAGGCTTTCTTTTCTATCCTCCATTAAAAAAAACACTGCAAATTAATCCTTATAAATAATAAAATAAATTTAATGTAGGAAACATAATTAAACGCCCGAACGCTGAAGAAGCAATCACAAAATTTTTCAACCAGCATTAATTTATTTTTTCAAATTTACAATACTGTTTTTTTCTCACTGAATATTATAATTTGGTTAAATTAAAAAAAAATTCATTTGAAAAGTTAGACTTAGCAATAAATTTTATTCAAATAAACTTAATTTAAAATACTTGAATATCTATTCATTTTTTATAAAATGCTCTACCCACCTATTCAGAAAGTGAGTAAAAAACAGATAGTAATTAGATCTTCAAAAATCAATTTCTGGTTTTTACTGTTTTTAATTTAATTATAATTTCTCTCTTTATTTCTACTGTCTCTCTCTCTTTATGTTTACTTGTAATTCATCTGTACAGTTAAGTGTGTATACTAAAATACGGTTTCTACATTGGGTCACCGGAGGGCCGTAAAATATAGGAATCCGTAAGTACAGAATATATACCCCGCAGCTAAAAGGAATATATGTTGTTTTAAAGGGTGAAAGTGAAGCAAGATTGTGTCACAATATGCTTTATCGGCGATATATTGTTGGTCCGGGTAATTTGTTTCGAAAGATAAGATATAGGCAGTTATGCGCCGAATATGTGCCTATATCTCATATTCGCTTAAATAAAGTGAAGATGGCATCTTTGTGCTATAAAAAGATTCTTGTGAAAAGAATGAAGTACTTATGTTACATTTACTATGTTACACTTTGGACGAAGTCGTCAGAGGAGATATTTAACTCTGTCTCACCTATTTCAGTGACCTTTGTAAGGTGTGTTTCCGCTGAAGAGTGAGATAGAGGATAAACTAATCTTAGTCCTCCAGCATGATGACGCTTGACGCCAAGATCATCACACGATGACGTAATGTCCTTGGTACATACATACACATACATCTTACATATAAAATTCTCGTGTCATAATGTTAGTTACCATAGTCCTCTGAAACGGCTTGACTGATTTTTATAAAATTTTATATGCATATTCAGTAGGTCTGAGAATCGGCTACTATCTACTTTTCATACCCCTAAGTGATAACTAAGTGTTCACCCCTAACGTAATTTTTTTATTTTTTAGACAATTTTTTTTATTTATAATGTGGCATAAAACTACCTACAACCCTAAATTTTCGCACTTTTAACACTAACCCCTATTTTTTTATAGATTATTTATTTGGCAAAACAACGTTTGCCGGGACAGCTAGTATTTTTATAATACACTATTATAGATTCATATTGCACCTTTAATTATTGTTGGCTGCACCGACCCCAGAGCTTTACACACAGTCCCACATAATTACTTTTTTATAATATGGCATTAAAAATACATACAACTCTAAATTTTCATCCTCCTCTCACCAACCCCTATTTTTAAAAGCGATTTTAATTTATATGGTAAAACAACTTTTGCAGGTTCAGTTAACGTATATAGTAGGTGACGGTTGCCATTTACTAACAGACGGGTCGTAAGCTTGTTTGGCATTCCAATTACGTAAAAAAGATATCCTGAACACTAATAGAAGTTATGGCAGTTTTTAATATTTAGCGTCACACAATTTTTCAAGTGTAACAGCATTTAGGATCATACTCATTAGTGTAGTCTTAAAAGCATTTTATAAAGTAAGCATACCACTTAGAAATGTTAAAAGAAGTTTCTTACTTAATGCCAGTTTTTATCCCCTTTGGGTTAAAGTTGTAAGCGGCAGATTTAATTAATACGTCACAGTAATTAAGAACTTATACACGCTGTGTTTTGAAACCACGTATCGCGTCTTTTCATTGTATGGAAAATTATAATGAGATTGTCAACAGTACGAGAGAGTTATGACGTTTTAGAACTCAATGAGACGTACGAATATTAGGAGAAAAACGAGGTTGTCAATCCCACACTATATTGTGTTTACTGCTCTCATACACTCTACGTATTTATAACTAGTTACTTGCCCTGGCTTCGCCCGGGTGTACATGTATTATATATATAAACCTTCCTCTAGAATCACTCTATCTGTTAAAAACGCTTTAAAATCCGTTGCGTAGTTTTAAAGATTTAAGCATACATAGGGACGGTCAGACAGCGACAGCGACATTATTTTATTCTATGTAATGATATAGTAGGCGTTCAATGGTCGAAATTCGATCATAATTAATTTAAATTATAAGCTACAACATTATTTAGGTTCTATTGTCAAA